TTCTTGCTATTTAATTATGGTTTGGAAAAACTGTCACACATATTGTAGTGTTATCGTAAGTTAAATTAAATTATAGTTTTAATAAGACAAATGCTTTATTAGGTAGCTTTTACCATAAATCCAGATTCAGAATGTTTACCAACAAAAACTCAACAAATAATATTCTAACACCTAATGTTTTCAAACACATATGAATAACAACACACATATGTATTCTAAGTGTCAAATATGTTTACACAAAGAGATTTCTTGTGCTGTACACCTGAATCAATTATTTTCATGCAACAGTGAGTGTGTCAAAATTTAAGTTGATTCTGAAGTTTAAAAAAAGTCCTTGTTAAAAAAAGGTAAAAATGATAATGTTTAGAAAATGATAACTAAAGATAAAATGATAACTAGGGAAGCTCTTATGTAAAGATTTTAGGATTTTTAAGTTCTCGAACCTTTAACCCATTGTTTCAAGAATACAGGGTGGGAAAAGGTCCCGGAACAGTTAAATATTTCAAAAAATAATGAAGATAGAGCTACAGAACGTAGTACAAAGTTACATCACGCTAGCTACGATAGTGAAAAGTGCTGTTAAAAAGTGGTTGACTCATTTTAAATGGTAAATATATTTGGAAATGATAAAAGTTATATATACAGGGTAAATCACAATGTGTCCGCTATTGATATGAGACAAACCGTTGGTCTCATAATGCTTAAATTCAAGCTTTTCCTACAAAACCAAAACCAAGAAATAACAGTAAAATGTTTGTTTTAGATACAGAATGTACTGAAACCAGAGGTTTACTAGTTCTTATCTCAGATTGCTAAGATACAAAAATATGTCGTGCCATAAATCCTTTCAAAGATATTTTTTAAAGGAACAGTGTAAATCAGAATTCGCTTAAAAATCGTAGCTTCTTACGTGGAAAACCTGTTTCTATTTAAAATTACCTACCGTATATTGTTCTTGCAAATATACATATCCCTACTTACTATGAATAACATTTTTCATTCCCTATAAGCTAAGCTTTACTTCTATTTTCAATATTAAAATCATACCACTAAAACAAACGTTTACAAGAAATATTTGTAGGAAAATAGTTACAAGGTCAAAACTATACTAAATATTATAGCATTATATGTAAATCAGCATATCATTTTAAAATTATGGCGATTAAAATAAACTTTCAAATTTTACAATTCAATTTCAATTTTAAACCTTATCCTTAAGTCGTTTCTCCACTAATAATATGTTTTTCCAATAAAAACCCCGACTCAACTGTTGTTACATGCCTCGAAAGATACGAAGGGCACTGCAAACAATAATTGCCTATTAGTGACAGAATTAGAAATTTCTTGCCAGCCAAGAGAGACGTTTTTTAGTTACCTGTAGGTTTCTTAGACCTTGAACTGTTCGAAGGTCTTGTAACTACCGAAAATGTCTGGTAAAATAATGATTCTAGCTAATTATTTCACTGTATTTGAAAATCATATTTGGAACACACTTGGAAATTAATAAATATTTTGCAAGTTTTATAACAGGTTTTGAAAATATATTTTTACGAGACACAATAAGGATTGTAAAAATACGATCATAAATGATAGGAAACACTTTTAAACATTACAAAAATTAATTAAGAAGCAGTAATGAGTATCGGGATTTCCGTATATAGTAAACTATAAAAGAGTTTAATTCAGTAAAACAATATTAATGATAATGACATCCATCGCTAATTATATAATGATCATACTATCTTTATAATATTACTAGCTGGCCCGACAGACGTCGTCCTGTCCTAATGTGGTTTTTGTCAAATGCTCGTTCATTTTCAAGATGAGCTTGTTCGCATCGCTCACTTGCCTTCAGGTTTAGCTGGTTCGCTACGCTGATTCGCCTCCAGGTTGAAATTGCTGGTAAAGATTGAAATTCGGTCGCTACGCTCACTCACCTTTTGGTTGCAAATGATCTGTTGTCATAAAAACAAAAAAAAAGTACTGCTGCACCTTGTTGGTAAACCTATTACTTTTTAAAGCTATGGAACATCACAGAATCAAGTTGTTTTGTTGAATTCTTCAATTCCATTTAAATATAAGTACTCATAAGGTTAACATGGGAAGCTCCAGAGCCCCTGGGGTGGAACCCTTTTGACGGATCTGCACCAAACTTCACACAAACCATCATTGAATAATGCGTAATAATGCCTGAAAGTTTCATTACAATCTGTTAAGCGGTTTGGAGTCCATAACGATCAAATATAAATATATATACTTCCTCTTTTATAAATATATTATGTATGATATAGATGTTATATTATATAAATGATATGTGATATAGATATACTATGCAAATACAATTCACTGACAGATGATCACTATCTGTCAAAAAATATATGACCTATAATTATCAAATTTGGTATAATAGTCCCTGCATGATTTAGATCTGCATATGATGTATATGTTGATGTAGAGTACCAAATTTGAAATTGGGCATTCATTGTTAGGCTTGTTTTGTTTCATCCTGCATTTAAACATTTTATTAATAAAGTCAAGTGATTGATGGTGAGTGTTTTTTCTTCAGACGTTTATTGCATTCTTTTAGCGTGTCTGATAAATATTGCAGAACCATCGGGGAAGTTCTTAATTTATCAAAAGCACGCATAGTTTATTACACAAAATGTTTAATTGCTTCCTAAATTAAACATGTGATGGTTTCAGTGATGCGGGAATAATCATTAGTCAACAATAGCATTTTAATATTGTTGTTGTTCCGGAATTTTCTTTTAATTACTTTTAAAGTCCTTAAACGGTTTATTTTTTTATTTTTTACACCGAAAAATGTTCTCCCTGTCAGCGAGTCACTTCTTAAGACGCTTTAATGGGCTCCTTGTGTGAGCTGTCAAGTAACTAAAGGCTCAATAAATAACTACTTTCTTCTCTCGTCTCATCAATAGCCATTTATCAACTGGTTTATATAAAATATATACATAAACGTTGTTGAACTCCAGAAAGTTCAGTTTAAATATTTTGTAGATATTGTATTTTTTATGACTGGTAACATGTATTATATTTTTTAACTCGTATTTCTTTTTTCCATGAAATCCTAATAACCTCACAATAATAGTACGACGATGGAATTAGAATTGGAAATACTCATGTGACTAATCAGTCTTAGAAATGATCGTATTTGAAAAAAGTTTGTGTCCCGTTAACAAAATAACTGGCAAGTGTTAGAAAGAACCTGAGCCTTTCATGCCTACTCTACGGTGGGTTTCAATTTATAGACCAATCAAGTGAGCAAAATCTACAATCAAATTTACCTTGTTCTATGAAACCATTTTATAGAGATGGTCCAGAATATAGGGTGACAATTACGCCTTTGGAGCACTTTATAGCTTTGAAATTACAAGAGATAATACAGCCAAATTTGCCGTATGATTACTGGTAATAGTAATATAGCTTTTTTGTACGTGGTGATTGAATGTAAACTATTGGAAACAGCCCATAGGGAGCAAGTTTAAAATATTTAAGATAAGCATAGATTGGTATGTATATCAAATTAAAGATTGTTTAACTAAAAACAATGCCGCAAACCGGACCTCAAATGAACAATGAATATTGTGCTATCTATACTTTTATAATGTTGAGGTGTTGTATGTCTATCTGTTTGGGTGTATGTCTGTGCAGCTATCAAGGTTAAAATACTAAACTGATACAGCCAAAATTTAGCCCAAAGATTGCCCACATAAATATCTGTGTATAATGTCCAGAAAGTAGCTGTTTGTAGTTCTATAAATTGTCAGCAAAATAAAATAATAGTTTTCGGGTAACTGCAAAGAGGAGAAACCAGTTTTGTACATATTCGGTAGGATAACCTCAAAATGTTATCAGCATTATGAAAACACTGCTAATCACACAATATTTTAAGTTATGTTTGTATAAAACAGAAATGTAAGCATTGATGCAACTTTGTATAACCTCAAAATATGTAAACTAATTTTGTTATTTCCTCAGTTCATCACACGGAGCGAAAGTGACTTATGCCACTTAATCGTATTTCCATTCTCGGCTGCGCCTCTCTTGTAAAACTCGATTGAGTACCAAAAAGAGCCACTTTCGTTCCTAGTGATAAAACTACAATTATGTATCACGTATGTATTTATAATGAAATGTATGACGTTAACCTTTTATTATTGACGAATTCAACTATAAGTGTTTCTTTATCAGCGTGGTTTGATATGCAAGTCAACACTCTAATGCACGGTCCATGCATGGCGTTGTAACTCGAATGAAATTGGCTCTGGTCCCTAGAGTAAATGTGCAATTATCAACTAGTGTTGGTGTACAACAATCGATTTGTCGTCAGCCCATGCTGTGTTGGCATACACGTACATAGTTCATGCATACTTGAGTTTAATATACGTTGTGTGTGCCAATATAGGACTTTTAATTTATGCAAACAACAGTATTTAATAAAGTAGCTAACATCTTGCCGTTGGTTACATTGGTATTCGTTAGGTAAAATAGTCTAGCTTCTTTAGGTGAAGATTGTTGCCATGATATCAAATAATTAGTTATAATAATATGTAAAAACATACAATAAAAAAGACTACGCCTTTCCGTAGTGACACTTTCTATGTTGATTACAATGAATTAAATATGACAAAATTGCAGTAAGCTTTTGACTAGACCTATTTTTAATAGCTTTGCTAGGGTTTGGTTGTCTATTTCCAAATCGATTAGAAATAAACAGAACGGCTATCTCATATTGGTATTACCGGTAACGGTTGTCAAGCCTATTGGCATATGATCAAATTTAAATGTACAAAGTAAAATCACGAACTACTGTGAACAAGGGTACTTTTTGGAACATATTGATTCTTTATTCCTTCACGTTTTTACGTTCTTCTTTCCTTAACAGGCACGTTTGCCTACAGTTCAGCATCTTTAGACGCATAAATAAAGAACATTGTTTGTAAAATGTCAACGGCAACAGACACACACACTTGATACAACTCGAGTGATTGGCGGGTTCTTGTTTGCCCCTTAGTTTATATGCTGTTGAATGCCGTTCAAAGCTTCTGTAGATTCCAACGAGTATCATACGGATCATACGCAATGAGGATCACTATAATATGTATTCTCTCCGTAAGTATTTGTTATTATTTTTTGTTTTTACTTTCTCCCCATATATATAGTATATGTAGAAAGTATTATTTTCGTCAAAACTTTCGAGTTTTTCGTCAAAACTTTCGAGTTTTTCGTCAAAACTTTCGAGTTTGAGTTTTAAGTGAATATACAGGGTGGAACGAAGTTAGTGTTAAAAAATTTTATGTGTTAAACTACTAAGTATTGGTGACAAATTGGCACCAATTTAAGTTTCCATACCCTCACAGGTAGGGAATAACAGACAATTTAAGATTTTTTCAAAATATTTGTACTTACTTACATAAAATGGCCATAAGTGCATTAAACATTGTTTTTATTCCAAATTCATTGTCATTTTCAGAATCCTCGTTAAATTTCCAATAGTAATAGTACAGATTCATTGAGATTATTCATCTACATAAGCCCTTATTTGGCCATGGAAGTTTGAACTTGTGATTTTTATAAAAAAGTAATAACTTTTTCCAAAGTTTTTCTATACTACACTGGACTGTAGAGAGTGTCAAATATTACTAAAAACTTCTGCAGTTAATAACCTTTAAAATGATGTATAAACATCTACTGTTCCTTTGATTTGTCGTTCTCAAATTTAAGAGTTTCTCATCAAAAACACGGAACGGCTAATGTTTAATTTCCTTTAAAAAAACATGTATCGGCTTTTATGGTATGGCAGCAGCTGCTTTAAAAATCATGTTTAAATGGGTATAATTGCAATTTTCAGAATCCTTGTAAAATTCCTAATAAGAATATTGAGGAATTGTTAGGATTAACACTTTATGAACCTATGTTTTGTGATGAATTTTCATTTTGGGGGTTTTCTTCTTATTTATTGGAATAAATTAAATATCGTTTACCACATTCAACCAATGTGCGAGATTGGTTTAAAGCAAAATACACAACTTGAATGATAAGAATGATAATGATGGGTCATATGGTGGGGTTTGCTGGCATGCCAGGTCGCCAGACCTAAGTCCACTGGACTTGCTTTGTGTGTTACCGGTATGTAGAGTACTTGGTCTACTCATCTTTAGTGGAAGATAATCAGAAAATTAACTACTGGATAATGAATACAGATGTGCTAGTCAGAGGAACGTTGTTTTTTAATGTTACTGTTGGTGCCACGTGCAAAAAAAGCTTGGCTGTGTATCTGGGAAAACGGAGGAGATTTTGAAAAAAAAAACTCAAGTAGTTGGCATCAAATAGAAGGCAACTATTAAAACGTCAAGGAAGTAAGGAACAGTTATTTAAGTTTCGAATATTGTGCGTTTTAGAATTAACTTTTAGTTTTTGTATAAATAACTAAAACTAAGTATTTTTGAGGTGTTAACAATTATTTTGGTTAAGAAATATATCTCTTGACTGAGTTATTTCCATTAACATGTGTCTAAGCACTACAATCAATTAATTGGTATACTATACTTAGGTTAATTTTCGGTTTTCGGTGAACATATTGACAACATTGTAAAGTGTAGTATCTACATAATTTTATAGACTAGCCTACTCCATTGGAAGTATTTGCTTACGCTTAGAAAAAAATCTTAAGTTAAATGTACCATGTGTAACTTAAAACAATATTCATTGTATTCAAAAAATAAAAATAAAACTAATTTAACATGTTTTCACAAAACATACGTTTATATGGATGTTAATCCTAATAGATCTTTAATATTCTTACAATAAATCTCACAAGAATTCTAAAAATTACAATAGACCCTATTCAAATATAACTGTTATTGCAGCTATTGCCATATTATTTAAGCAAATTACATGTTTTTTAAAGGAAATTAAACATTAGCCGTTCCGTGTTTTTCATGAGAAACTCTTAAATTTGAGAACGACAAATCAAAGGAACAGTAGATGTTTATACATCATTTTAAAGGTTATTAACTGCAGATGTTTTTAGTAATATTTGACACTCTCTACAGTCCAGTGTAGTATAGAAAAACTTCGGAAAAAGTTATTACTTTTTTATAAAAAATCACAAGTTCAAACTTCCATGGCCAAATAAGGGCTTATGCAGATGAATAATCTCAATGAATCTGTACTATTACTATTGGAAATTTAACAAGGATTCTGAAAATGACAATGAATTTGGAATAAAAACAATGTTTAATGCACTTATGGCCATTTTATGTAAGTAAGTACAAATATTTTGAAAAATTTTTAATTGTCTGTTATTCCCTACCTGTGAGGGTATGGAAACTTAAATGCCATTTTGTCACCAATACTTAGTAGTTTAACACATAACATTTTTTAACACTAACTTCGTTCCACCCTGTATACATTTTTGGGTCCCCCTCAAGCCAAAAAAGTAGTTTTCAAAATGATGTCTGCCCGTGTGTGGGATTACGGTGGTGTGTGCTGTATGTGTGGATGTGTATAGAGCTACAGACCATAACTATAGTCCAATTTTAATGAAATTTGTTACGTAGGTTAATCTATGGTATCTCCAGTTTTTTTTTTATTTCTAAAATTTTATTTTTTAATAGGGTTTTTTCTATAAAACCCCATAAAATAACGGAGAATTCAAATTTCTTTGTGATTTTTACCTATTAAATATCGTAGTTACTCTCATCGCTTATCCATGATAAGGGTCGTTGACAAAACTAATAGTGGAAATTATGTGTCAGATTGCTGTTCCCTTTTATTTTTATAGTCATTTCTAATTGGCTGTAGTTATTTAGGTTGGGGTTTCCAAATTAGGTATGATGAATTATTTAGGAAGGGTGATTTATTGAAAACCACTTCATTAATAAAAAAAAAACAAGGCAATTTTAAACAGCACGAAGTTTTCTTACCGAGTACAATCTTTAATTACCACAATTCTCATTAATGTAACAAAAGCAAGAAAATATCTATATTCAGCTATGAACGCGATGTTCGGAAACAATATAAATCGACTGATTTCTGGAAAGATCGCTTTGTCAGAATAATACATGATTAATTTACTTTGATTAACTGTAAATAATTAGGTTTTTTTATTAATAAGTGTTTATAACAGATAACGTATTTTTAATGAAAACGGATTCTTTTGATGTAGCATCAGTAGTTCCTGATGTGTAAATTAACTTCTTAGTAATCTTGTAAAAATATTTATCATAATTAAAAATTTTATCCTAGTTAAACAAAATTTGAAAATTGTGATTTTTATCCAACCAGTAAGATAAATTTTGGGTGGACTATGCAATGTGTGTCGTTGAACATGTTGGTGATAGTGATCATGTTCAATAAATATCAGGTTTTTATTTTACCAGGTCTAAGCGGTTTCCTTCGTTTGGAATGGCCACAAGCTAGGAGTCTAAATTTAGTATTATTTTAGTCAGTAGTTTCATGTTAGTATAGGAATCACAATCTGAGTTTAACAGCTCACAATCCATTGAATACACACTAGTTGCTTTCTTATAACGGAATTCAGTTGAATGAAAATTCTCCAACAAAGTTAATCAGTTTTTAAGGCTTAAATCAAGTACCCTAATAAATGTTAATTGTGTTTAACACATGTTTCAGGTGATTGGAGCAGTATACTCTACAGTACAGCGTGGCAAACAAAACTTTCCTATGCTGAGAGGAGTTAACAGATCTGGAACAGAATACGCTTGTATCAAAGGCGATGGTATCTTTGACAGTCCCTATGACGATGCAACGATTGAAAACATGAAGAAATGGAACATAAACATCGTGCGTGTTCCACTCAATGAGGGATGCTGGTTTGCTAGATGGGTCCCTCGTGCTGAATACGCGGGAGATAATTATCAAACTAAAATAAAAGAATGGGTGCAAAAACTCAGAGGACATGGTTTGTACGTTATTGTTGAGCTCCATTGGACTGAAGGCTTGTACAAAGGACCCGCCCAAGGCGCTTGCTACGAATATGGTGCAAAATGTCAAAAGCCAATGCCAAACCAGGAGGTTTCAATAGACTTTTGGAAAGATGTAGCTAATATGTTCAAAGGCGATGAAGGGATAATATTCGACCTCTTTAACGAACCATTCCCTGACAGAGCTATAGAAGACCGTGACCAAGCCTGGCGTTGCTGGAAAAACGGTGGTGATGATTGTCCTGGTTTCGAATATAGAGTAGCAGGCATGCAAGACTTGGTGTATGCTGTCCGTAACACTGGAGCGAAGAACCTTATTATGCTCGGTGGACTGAACTTTGCAAACGATTTGGAAGGCTGGACAAATTATCTTCCCTATGATCCTGCATACAACGTTGCTGCTTCCATGCATAGCTACAACTTCAACTCTTGCATCGACAAAAAATGTTGGGACAAGGGAATTGGAACGATTATCAAGACACATCCCGTTATTGTCGGAGAGATTGGAGAAAATGATTGTTCTCATCAGTACATTGATAAATTGATGCCTTATCTGGAAGAAAGAGGAATCAGTTACCTTGGGTGGACGTGGAACAACTGGAATTGTAAGGACGGCCCTTCCCTGGTCAAAAACTATGATGGAGAACCAACTAAATTCGGAATCGGATTTAAAAACTTCTTGGCAAAGGTTGCACACCAATAAACGTAATATTTGTTATGTGCTTTGTGATAATTCATAAACAAATCAATTAAAATAATTATATCTCACTATGTTCTATACTTCCTTTACAACACTACTTGTAATATTGGGTTTGACTTAATTCAAATAATACTCTCTTAAATCTTTTGCGCTATGTAAAGAATATTTTGTGTGACAAAATGTTGGTTTGCCTTGTTTACAGTAACTGCATTAAATTAATGTGAGTGTAAAACACTAGATACATTGGTAAAATAAGTTTTTTTTTTAACATTTTTCAGATGCCTAGTTAAAAAAGCACATATTTCTGAAAAAAGAGGAGGAAAAAAGCAGTGGGTTGAACAATTAGAACCCATTGGTAGGTTTGTATATACTTATTGAAGGAAGAAGTTATAAATTTTCCATAAAAAAAGTATCAAGTGACATTTCAGAAATGAAGAAAACTCTTAAAGTATTGTCAAAAGAGAATACATTTTGGAGCGATTTCAAGAACACATAATAGTCCCTCTTCTTTTTAGTGCTTAAACTGCAGAGACGTAAACAGAGGAGTTAGTAAGGAGCTTTGTGTAGGCTATTGTTAGTTTATATTGTTTTAATTTTTAATTTAGAATTACTTTCAATATTTACCTGTTCCATGCCAATAAATAAACAAAAATGTTATTCGATAACAGTACCAAGAATACTTGTGATTAGTCACCTGTAGAATATTTCCTGACAATAAAAGGTAAAATTATTATAAACAACCTAGCTATCTGCTTGAGAGAAGGGTGTTTTACAAAAAGACTATTCTTTATCAGTTTGGTTAGTATATATAGTGTAAAATGGAATATGCTGTCTTGTGTAGCTTTGTTACTGACTAAGACCAGCTGTTACATTAGCCAGCACCATTTATCAAAACATTTTTTATTTATTTATTGTATTATGTAATATTTATGTAATATATATTTAATATGTATTTTCCTTTTACAGTGCAAGTATTTGTATGAATCCACAAAGACTCTATAAATTAATTTTCAAGAACATTTCTGTACTAAACTTTTTATATTAAATTTTATTTTTTATTTTTTTGTTTTACTTTACCGGTAAGAGGTAGGTAAAACCTTGACAATTAAGCTAGCAAAAGCAGAAGGTTACTTAGTTATTTCAAAAGTAAGTAAATCTCCCAAATCACTGATAAATGTCTTCAAAAAAGGCCTAAATCTGTTATAAATTATTGATAGGTATTTGTAAATTTTCAATAAACATTAATAGCCACAGATTAATAATAAACACGACTACAGTAATACAGTTTACCGTTTATGAATAATCTTACATAACAAATAATTGTTTTAGTTAACATTATGCCCTTCAATTCAGTGTTTTACACACTGTAAAATCACACGCCTTTTTGATAGAAAAGGTTTCGAGTTGTATAGTAGAAAATAGTGGAAAATATTTAGGCCTTGATTATGTAACTAATAAAATACAGGTAAAGGATATAATATTATTTTGTCTATGGAGATATAAACAAAATGATTCATAGTCTAATTGTTAACCGAGCCATTCTATCAGTATAGGACGACAATTGCTTAAAATATAGCAATAGTGTCAATGTTTCCAGGACCTCAGTTTTGATGGAATATCGGACAATAAGCATAAAAAGAACCGATACTCAAAAGAATATTGGTAATTTGTACCAATATTTGTATTTGGCCAGGTAAGTGAACTGCCACCACATCGGCTAATACACAAAATCAGTTGTAGTTTTCATATGAAATAAAACATATCAAATTGATTGATATTTGTATTGGACGGTAGACTACAAGGTTTTGACTCGTTCCTCAAGTAGACACCTGAGCAACAAACTGAGCTACCTAAAGTAAATTTGGTTCTTTTGGACAAAATGCTGCCATTCTAGGTTATATGTTTCATTATTTAAAAAAATATATATGAAAACTATGTATAACTATATAATGAGTAGTCCACAGAACTGAGCCATGCAGAAATAACACATATTACGAAAAAGCTGGTAATCTTTTAAGTATTTTTTGTTCAGGTTCAAAGATTGGAATTAGTAATGTTCGGTTGATATAACTAATAACTCAATCAAACATGTCAAACACTTGGCAACGTGGTTGACTGTTGGAATTATTGCTTCGCTAATTGAATGGCTGATATTAACTTATCGCGCCAACTGACAGCTATTGGTTTATCATTTTCCGAGTACGGAATTGGGTTGTGAGATACCATCAAACGCTGTGACGTGTATCAGACACAAAACAACTCCTATCAACTGCTTAAGGGAACTTCCACTTAACGTATTTTCTCATCAAACCTGACAGGACAGGCGGAGATGGTTAATTGGTCGATAGGAGAATGTGAGTAGAAGAGTGGGGTCAAATGAATCATATCAAACAACAATTAGAATTTTTTTTCGTTAAACTTAAAGCCAATGTAATGTATTTCGTACATTATTTATTTTTAAAGGCATTTCGTAAGCAAACAACACCTAGATTTTAAAACGGTTTTTGACGTGTTTTAAAATTTTATTAATTTTTATCTAAAAATTATTGCTATGTATAAGATATTAATATTTTTACGGTGATAATGAAAATGTAAATTGAACGTGATTAGAAAGTGGCAAAAGTATACCTTACTTATTGTTGCGTACTTATTAAGTTGTTATGGTGGAAAAGGGGTCAAAGTGCTAGAACAGCCATAACGGACTTACCACCTACTGAAACACCGGATCCGCTCCATGGGGCCTGACAAAACATTTTTCTCTTGAACGAAGGAACGCTATTTAATGCTTGAATTTTATATGAATTTATTCAAAACTGATTTTGATATTATAACTCAAAGATCATGTTTACTACCAACTAAGAATACATAAGGACAAAATAAGGTAAATATTTCGTATCTGACGTTGTATGTCACAATGTGTGAGAAAAAGGAACGTTAATGATAATTCTTCTTGAGAGTCTAGTCCATATTTTAAATTATCAAAGTATTCTTTCGTGAAATAATTATAACCAGTAGCTTAGTAGATGTAAAACATTGTCAGTATTAATACCAGATTTCACTGAACGTAATAGAGATAAGCCAGTGTCAGACGGGGTATATATCACACAACAATAGCTGCTGTCATATCACTGCTGTGTTGTGAGCTGTGCTTAAATTTGTGAACTGATGTATTGATTCTGATACTCACTATGCAGTAGAAACATCATTTAACTTGTCTTTGACCTAACAAAATTTATGTAGAATAAGAATATTCTTTTATGCTCGTATAAAAAATGTGTGATGCAACGTATACAATAGTTGGCTACGACAATAATCTGGCGTGTGTTGGAATTTGGACAAAACAAGAAACACTAAACGCAAAGAGGTTGAGTTGTTTGTTGTTATTCGTAAGGGAAAACCTTTACAGCCCCGTGGCTCATCTAACCAAAAGTCCAAAGACAAAAAGCATGTGTGGTGTACCTGACACTAGCCCCAGCCTTGTTTATGGTGTCGCTCAAAGCTCAACATTCAGCAGATGACAGGTGTATTTGTGTACAAAGGAAAAAATATACTTAAACATTGTCAAATACAAGGTTGAATATATTTGTGGGTTTTTGTTTGTAAAAGAAAAACTCTCTGTTAGGCTGTTCTTATTTGTGGTTAAGATTAAACACACAAATGTTCATGTACAGTGTGTGGGAAATGGTAGGGACGTAAGTAAGTATGGTAGTGATTCCTTGAGTCAAATTAAAGAGAAAATTTGAAATACAAGTTTTTCCAAAATCACTCCATTAACCAGATATTTGCCATTTTGAAATTTTCACATACACATTTTTATCTTCTAATTGTTTCAACCGATCTTCATGAAACTTGATATGAATGGTGAAAGAATCCCATGTCAGAAAAAAGTTACTTTGATGTTCAAAATTTTAAAATTACGGCTATAATAATGAAAAAAAAATGAAAATTACAGAAATTGCTGATGTTATGAGAAAAGGTAAAAAAAACACTTTTATTTAGCAATTAAAATTTCCTATTAAACGACAACAATTTAAAAAGATAAAATACAAAACAACTGAATATTAAGATTTTTAGGTTGTAAAATGAGACAGAATTAGGCTAAGGTAATGCGATTTGCATCATTGTACGTACAACTAAAAGTCGTGACATTTTAGTAGATTTTATTCAATTTTTAAAACTTTGTGTCGTATAATACAAAATATTAAATGCAAAATAAAAGTGTTCTTCACATCTTTTCATAACATAAACCATTTTTTTGTAATTTAAATATAAGAAATTATAATGGCCCCTATTTTGAAATTCTGCGTCAGAGTTTTTTTTTTTCTAACGTGTTATTGTAAAAAATACGAAATGGTAAATATCTGGTTGGTAAAGCGATTAAAGAAAAGGCCAATTTCTATATTTTCTCTTTATTTTGACCCAAGTAATCACTACGAAAACTATGATTCCACCTTTTTGAACACCCTATATATTTAAAAAAATGAGACAACTTAAGATATGCAGTTTATCTTTTGAATTTCAGACAACAGCTTTTTCAAATACTTTTAAAAATAACCCCACTGCTGCAAAAGTGCAGACTAAGCGAATTCCCATTTGCTTTACTCATTCTCTTTATAAAATTAGTTTTAAATTTTAAATTCACAGATTTTTTTTGTATTTTCTATGTGATAATTAAGTTATCATAATAGAACAATAAATAGTAGATCGTACTTCAAATAAGGCAATATATTATATACTGCAGCAATCCTGCAGACTAAGCGAATATACATATTTGTCTGATTAGATTTCGAATGACATTTTGATAAGAAATACATATTTATTCTTCATTGAAACAAAATTAGAGTACTTATGTTTGCTGCACCGGAGGAAGTGAAACGTATTTTTTTTCCAAATGTAATTAACAAATAATATCCATAAACAAGCACTATACAATGTTATTTCCCTTGAGGATAACATGGTAGTTTTAAATAAACAGTTTTTTTCATGTTCTCTGTAACGTTTAATTGTACAACAACGCTTCAATGTTAAATATTGCAAAAACTAAAACAATCTAATAATAGTTTTATTA